CTGAGAATGTTTCGGAGTGTTCTATGGTCTGCTGGGGTAATAATATAGTGTAAAGCGCATAGAGCTTGCTGTTGAGTGGGGATATGCGCTATACAAATGCTATTTATTATTATTATTATTATTATTATTATTATTATTATTATTATTATTATTATGAAGTGAAACTAAAACACGCAGCTCTTGTAACTATTTGTGATGTTGAAATATTCACACACGCACACTGGGTTTTCCCGGAACGACAATAACATTTTCTTTCCTTTGATATATACTATGTATGGTTCCCGTGAAAAGAAAGCATTCATCCGATTGAGTAAAGATTCCCTCTGTTGGTCTAGGAATTCGGCGACGGAATGTCCTCAAAAATAATTCTTTAAAAATATTTAGAATCATGCATGAGAAAATTCCCTGAAACATAATATTGTAAAAGTGGTTTATCTTTCTGAATTCCGTATAATCTCGTTTTCAATTTTTTTATATAAAAAAATGACGTTCAAAGCCTATTCGGAGACATATCAAAATAGAATTCCGCATCACTCGACGGGTTTTCTCAGAGCTGCTCACTAAATTAGATTCTAAATCTGCAAATTTTTTTTCTGAAAATAAAATACAATATGTACGCTATGTGAATGCGTTTTTGTTTATGTATGTAGGATTGTGTACTGATGTTTGTTTGTGTGTGTGTATTTGAATGAGTGTGTGCGTGTATGTCTGTGTTTGTGTATTTGAATGAATGTGTGCGTGTATGTCTGTGTTTGTGTATTTGAATGAGTGTGTGCTTGTATGATTGTGTTTGTGTATTTGAATGAGTGTGTGCTTGTATGATTGTGTTTGTGTATTTGAATGAGTGTGTTCGTGTATGTTTGTGTGTGTGTGTATTTGAATGAGTGTGTGCGTGTATGTTTGTGTTTGTGTATTTGAATGAGTGTGTGCGTGTATGTTTGTGTTTGTGTATTTGAGTGAGTGGGTGCATGTATGTTTGTGTTTGTGTATTTGAATGAGTGGGTGCGTGTATGTTTGTGTTTGTGTGTATTTGAATGAGTGGGTGTGTGTATATTTGTGTTTGTGTGTATTTAAGTGCATAGTTCTACACACCAACAAACTATTGAAGAGGATGGTTGGCGGAAGCTCCTGTGAGGTTTGCTCCTACTTTCCACGCAAACCTCTGTCTTCTTTGTGTTTATTAAGAGGGGGGGGGCTACACCTGGAGGCTATCTCGCTTATAACTGGAACGAATGTTACCAAATTTCACACATATAACAAGCATAGTAAGGAGTCTTAAAATCCGCAATCAAATTTGAGAAAAAAGTTGCGTTTCCATGGATACGCCGCCATATTGGATTTTATTGACACGTCTTACGTAATGAATACCGCAGTTATCGCTCATGGAAATTGATTGGTTTTTTTGCATGCGACAATGAATTTTTTCCTGAGGTAGCATTCAAGTTTGCGAAAAAT